ATTCAAATAAATACATATCGATATAGATGAATATCTAATTGTACAGATAAATATATATCTATATAGATAAAGATATATGTCTGTCGTCGTGCAAACTTGGTTGCAAATTATATACCATTAGCAGACGAGTAGAGTTCGATGGCTGCCAACTGGTCGGGATGATCCAGTAGAATCTTGAGACTAATTCGTGCGGTCAGTTTCGAAGCGCGGGCCAATCGGAACGCTGCAATGGGCACGGCATAGGTAATCTGAAGGGATACAACGGCAGATAAGCACAAGATGATGAGAAAGCATGGTGAATTGAAATTTTTTTACGTATGTAAAAGCTACAATAAGTGTGTACTGAAAAGGAAGGTGTGATGGTCAGATGATAGGAGGTGATGAGGTTCGAGTGGAATCAGCAACCTACTTCAAATCCGCACAGCACAGCTATTGTTCTATGATGGGAGTGATGAGTTGGACGAGAAGAGAATACAGGGACATACAACCATGGAGGACAACCCAGATACGTTACCCAATGCATAATATATATGCATACAATAATGTACACACATACAATAATGTACACGCATACAATAATGTACACGCATACAAACCCGAAAAGGGACATACAACCATGGATGACAACCCAGATACGTTACCCAGTGCATAATATATACGCATACAATAATGTACACGCATACAATAATGCACACGCATACAATAATGTACACGCATACAAACCCGACGATTCCTTAAAAGCGTCTCCGCTCACCGTTGAAACGGTCACTGCAAATGTTGTTCATGTACTTAGTGAACATGACCTTCTAGAAGCAGAAACAAAAATAGAATCAACAAAATATGGCTGGACGGTCCAATGTCCGAAGGACAAGGATACATAGTATTCAGATTCAGAATCCAATACATGGACTCGATATAATACGCAATGCAATACGCACAAGCAACACACTCGCATTGAGTGGTACAACGCATGTGCAATATACCGTTGTGGACTTGCGGCTCATCACACACACATAACCAATCACTCACAAGAGGGCATACCTCCCGAGTGCATATCAAGTATTTATAAAGTAAAGACGCACAAATCACTATGCATACAATGGATACCTGCGAGCCCCCTTTGGTTATAGGCATGAAGCAGTACAGCAACCATGCCCAGAAACAACCGTCCAACCAGTATAAACTAGCGAGCTAAACAGTAAAGCCCCAACTGCCACGCCACCGCACACACTTGGGACATACATTCAACATACGTCCGTGAACTTATGATCTGCGAAGAACTCGGCCTCCATCAGTGTCGACACAACGATAGGCCCAGGACTACCCCCACACTGGAGAAGCGCCCCTTCCACTGTCTGAGCAGACGATAGCGGAGATGTGTGAGCGTGGGGTAAGGCGGGACAAGCAGTTGCGCACGAAGGGAGGCATGCGCGTATAGGCAAAGCGGTTGATATAAGAACTGTACATAGACCGGCACCCAGGGGGGGAACCCCCGGTTTTCGGGCAAAGTATAGTAGGTGGTTTCACTGCAGTGTGCTTAGATAGAGGGTTTACGACGCGGAGACAGTCTGCAGTCCGCTGGGGCTGACGCACAGAGAGTTCCCCGGGCTACCAATGACCCTCTAGGAGGAGGGTGGGAATATAATTATGGGGAGTATAGCTGGACGTGCAGAATATGATCATGGGACTACGCACTCATACATATTTTATTCCGGAAATGGAATATATATTATTATTAAAAAGGTATGTTGATGTTAACATACCTTGTGTGTTTTAACATGCGGTCGCAGTTTTACCTCCGCCTTATCGGCTGAGTGTGAGGATTGTGTATTCAGCGAGAGAAAGGGATGATGAACGAGGGTTAGTCCCAGAGAAAGATATACAAGACAACCAATTACGTATTTAAATCAAACCTGGAATAGGGGGAATCGCAGTCGATCGAGGCAAAAGATCATTGATTGTCAATAAAGATACAGACTCTACTGCCAGAAAGAAATGGACAAATCACTGGCCAAATGAGAAGGTTGTTCGGTGTGTTTTATTGATGCATTCGACTCGGTCTCTCCTTATAATATTTTGAGGTTCATATGCCTTTATTATGTTGCCTGCACAACTCGCGTTGGTCTAGAGGAATTATGCCACAAGCTTGAGTGTTATTTGTCATTCCCAATATCTTACGGCTTCAATTAATTATTATTGTACCTTCAATTGCTAGTATAGCGAACCAGATTA